TTCCCTGCCGTTGTAGTGTGTTACTGATGGTGACCTTTGTTACTTTGGTCCCAGCTCTCTGCAGGTCATTCACCAGGTCCCCCCGTGTGGTTCTGGGATCTTTGCTCACCGTTCTCATGATCATTTTGACCCCACGGGATGAGATCTTGCGTGGAGCCCCAGATCGAGGGAGATTATCAGTGGTCTTGTATGTCTTCCATTTTCTGATGATTGCTCCCACAGTTGATTTTTTCACACCAAGCTGCTTGCCTATTGTAGATTCACTCTTCCCAGTCTGGTGCAGGTCTACAATACTTTTCCTGGTGTCCTTCGAAAGCTCTTTGGTCTTGGCCATGGCGGAGTTTGGAGTCTGACTGTTTGAGGCTGTGGACAGGTGTCTTTTATACAGATGATGAGTTCAAACAGGTGCCATTCATACAGGTAACGAGTGGGGGACAGAAAAGCTTCTTACAGAAGACGTTACAGCTCTGTGAGAGCCAGAGATTTTCCTTGTTTGAGGTGACCAAATACTTATTTTCCACCCTGATTTACGAATAAATTCTTTACAAATCCTACCATGTGAATTCATGGATTTTTTTTTCACATTCTGTCTCTCACAGTTGAAGTGTACCTCTGGTGCAAATTACTGACCTCTGTCATCATTTTAAGTGGGGGAACTTGCACAATCGATGGCTGACTAAATACTTTTTTGCCCCACTGTAGCTCTCTCTCTATCTCTCTCTGTATTTCAAGAACAGTTTCCCGTCTCCAATCTCTGTTTTCTGTATTATTCATTCGCTTATTACCCACCAGTCTACCGTTGTTTACAGCGCTGTCGGCTGCTGTCTTTTTCTTTTCTTTTTTTCACTTAAATGACCTCAGACAAGAAAGCCTATTTTTTCTGTTGTTCAATACTGAAGAAATTTAAACTTTATATGCAGAACATTGTAGAATATTTTTAAGGTTATCTGCTATAAAAAGCCAGACCAGGAAAATCTCCTTCATGTTTTTCTGTTTTATTCTCAGTTACTTTCACACAAAGGCATCTGCTGTGATGTTCATAATTCTGATCAAGTCAGTACTGATAAATGATCAGAATTATAATATTTCTGACTGTCTGCGGCTAAGTTGAATCGAATCGGGACTTTGAAAACCGGAATCGAATGGATTATAGAAATCAGTGATGATACCCAGCCCTAGTGAGCAGCCTAGGCATGACAGAAGTGGTTGTAGCTGTAATAGGAAAAGAACTATTGCTAATCTTTCTGTTAAGTTAAGGCCTGATCCTTCTGAAATTCATAGCCAGTGCTCTGACACGGTGTCATCAATCTTTGAATGCTGAAAAAGCACAGTGTATCCAGAAAAACACATTATATTATATAAATTATTATAAAATTTGTGTGTGCCTAACTTTTGTGCCGGTACGCCCAACTTTAAAAAGTTAGGCGTACCGGCACGCCCATGGCAAAAAGTTAGTCTAGAGCCCTGATATATATATATATATATATATATATATTAGGGGTGCAACGATACACAAAATTCACGGTTCGGTTCGGTTCGATACTTTGGTGTCACGGTTCGATATTTTTTCGATACAAAAAAAATGTTCATGCCTTTTTAATTTGTCATTTATTAAATTTTCACGGCACATTCCACACCACATCTCTGTGCGTTCATCATTTGTTTGAAGCCAGCTCACCTCCTGCAACTACTTTTCCGAGAATACGTGCTTCTTTTGTGGTTCGGACTCCTTCTGACATTTCTTTGGAGGTGGAGGAACATCACAGTAATTGCTTAAAGGAGCTTCTTCGACATCTTTAAGAGTTCTAAACAAATGTCTGTCCTCCTCCTGAAAATCTTATGTACGCAAACACGCGTTGCAACTTCTTATCTTGTGCGCGTTTTTTATTTTGACAGCGAATGCGCACCTGCGGACCACTTATGTGCAGCCCTGGTTATTATTTAGCTCGTAATATTGCAGCCACAGAAATTCTTTTGTCCATGAAACCATAAAGCTGCACTTTCTTTTTGCATTATAGTCTGCTTTGTAATAACTTTTCCGTTTTGTGGTAAGCTTTTCTTTGGCTGTCACTTCTTCACCCTGACCTGTCTTATTTGGCTCAGCAGAACTAAAATATATATCCTGCTGCTTTTACACACGCACTCGCATAACGCTCAGCGATTCTCTGCGCGATCAACCTCTCACATGTTTAAGCTTGCTGCGGGAGATTTCACTTGTCATGTTTGCATAGTAAGCTAATGATTGATAAGACAATGTCAGAGGAATTGGTGCGCAAATTATCATCACTCACCAATCAGTGCTGTCGCTCTCTATACACAGTTGGCGCGATTGCAAAGTGAAAGCAAAAAACAAGCGCAAATTCAAACGCGATTTCAATATGTCACATATTGACAGTGGCTCATCGATGCCAATGACATAATTACCCAGCTACATTTCCGAAAGAATGCAAAAGCATTGACATATATTTTCCTTCCTACAATAGCCCGGGGCAGAGATAGATTTTGGTAGCGCGACTGGAAAAATCGCTAGCCCCAGGACGTCGGGCTAGCGATTTTGCGAGCTCTGTATCTGATTGAGGAATCACTCATCTTTGGAAAACAGAGTTTATTACAGAGAAATGGCTCTTTCCAAAATAAAAGCTATACTATCCGCTTCTTCTGGGCTATATTCTCAGCAGCATATTGTAGCAGGTCAGGGCTGTTCGGGGTTCTGTTTGTACAGTTATGTTTTGTTTATGTTGCCATAGCGATGGGTGACGCCCTCTCGCTGCGACGGTGTGTCCTTCCGGGGTCAGAGGGCGCCCTATGTGTTGTTGTTGTTGTTGCTGTGCGGTTGCCACGCTGAGCAGTTAGCTAGCGGCAGTGTTCTTCTGCAGATGTCAATAAACGGCTGTGCTCCCTGGCTAGCTCACGGGAAGCAAGACCAAACGACACCTCCGTCTCCTCGTTGTCTGAGCTCGCCACATTGGTGTCAGAAGTGGGATGATGGTGGCACCCCATGTTCTGACCCGAGTGACTTTCCCCCGCCGGTCGTGACCGGCCGGTGCGCCAAAAGAAGGCACCTGGACATTTGCAGGACTTTGTGTGGGGTAATGGGGTCGTCGGGGACGACTGACCCCTTAGGTGGGGGCTATGTAGCGGGTCAGGGCTATTCGGGGTTCTGTTTGTACAGTTATGTTTTGTTTATGTTGCCATAGTGACGGGTGACGCCCTCTCGCTGCGACGGTGTGTCCTTCCGGGGTCAGAGGGCGCCCTGTGTGTTGTTGTTGTTGCTGTGCGGTTGCCGCGCTGAGCGGTTAGCTAGCGGCAGTGTTCTTCTGCAGATGTCAATAAACGGCTGTGCTCCCTGGCTAGCTCATGGGAAGCAAGACCAAACGACACCTCCCTCTCCACAATATTAAACATATCAGGTCCCCATAAGGAGAATCATGTGCTAACGGCTGTCTAAATGACTCGGGTAAAGTTTGTAGCATGCATATATATATATATATATATATATATATATATATATATATATATATATATATATATATATATATATATATATATATATATATATATATATATATATATATATATATATACATATATATATATATATATATATATATATACATATATATATATATACACATATATATATATATATATACACACATATATATATATATATATATATATATATATATATATATATATATATATATATATATATATATATATATGTGTGTGTGTATGTATATATATATATATATATATATATATATATATATATATATATATATATATATATTAGACATCTGAGTTTGCTTTCCGTTTGTAGACATGATTTCTGTAACAATATGACTGTTTCGGGAATAAAGAAGAGAGACAGATGGAGATTTAATGTTTTTCTGTATGTGTATATAATGAATAACAGGTGCTTCAGTGCGTTCTAGCTGCTCCCCTGTTTAACTTTTAAAGACACTTAAATTTTATTTTTACTCCCAGTTGCTGCCTAAGCTGTCAACCCGGCCCCGTCCATGCACACAGACTCCCCACATTTCCCAAACGAGCCGCATTTCTTCAGCATTCATTTCCCTACAAGCGAGATTCCTCAACATTCAGCACTCCTCCGCCCTGTTTAAGAGTGGCTGTTGTGGCTGAAGGTGCAGACTTAGAGAGGCTGCGAGGTGGTTTGACTCTTGGCAGGAGTTGAGAAGCTGCTGACGTGTATGTTGGGCAGGATGTGTGTAAGAAGCAGCGCTGGATCCTGTTTTTCAGACCGCAGCTACTGGAGCTTAGCCACAGCTATGGCTTTTAATAAAACACACACATACACACGCATATACACACACGCACACACGACACACACACACACACTCAGGCAGGCAGACTGCTGCACCGGACAGACATGTACTCTTACTGACACGGAAATTAATCCACTGTAGATATGCTGTGATTTATCTGGTTATTGTTGTAACCGAGTATACATAAAAGACAGCATGACATTTACTTTTTAAAATTCCTTACAGTCAGAATTTAAAAGTCCATCTGGAGCCGCTGGTGTAAGAACAGAGGAATGCATTATACATCCTGTACATCAAGTTTTCTGAGACAAACCTGCCTGGAAGGCCCCCTATATGCTTTTGTAGGCGCCAGTTACACTCTATACACACAAATATGTGCAAGGGAAAGAAAAAGCAAAACAAAACAATGGTTTTTCTTTATGTGGTTTGAAATTTCATGGTTCACCGGCATGCACACAGACGCCAGAAACAGACAGAGGGTGTGCTTAGAGTGGCAAAAGTCAAAAACAAACTGACAGGGCAGCAGCAGTGCTTGCGTTGTTATGACGAAGGAGGGCTCCAACGGAGACAAACACACATTACTATGAAACGTAAAGCAGCTGATTTAAGGGGAGGAAATGAAAGGGATTACTTCTGTCAACATTTTGATTATGCAGTGAGGTTTTCTGTGTATGTGTACGTGTGTGTGTAAGTTGCACATGTGCTGTCTTGTTCCTCTCTTGAATGAAGTGTTAAGAGGATCCATAGGTTTAGCTGACTGGATAGGGCAGGCACACCTATTACACAGGGTCAGGACATCCCACTGACTGGAGGGAGGAGGGAGGCGGGAAGAAGGAGGGCAGAGACGATCAGCAGCGAGACAGAGGGAGACGGCGAGATACTGAAGAGACGCTTCTCTGTTTTGTTTTGTTTTGTTTTTTTCTTCTCTCTCCCTCTCTATTTCCTCGCTTCGCTCCCTGGGAGGTTGTGAAAGGGCAGAACAGAGAGGGAGACGCAAAATAATAGAGACAAAGGGGGCAAAGCCGAGAGGATGAAAGCAAATGTGAATGTGTGAGTGACTCTGTGTGTAACATGCTCTGTCATGCTGGTGTGACTACCGCTGCCTCCCCAACCGGCGTCGTTTGGCTGTCAGGAAAAGGAATGCTTTCCGGAGGAATGAGTCCCTGAACCGGTTCACCATGTGGCTGTGGGACAGTAATTTCCAAACCTTTGCTGGAAGAATCCCACGGAAAAAAGAGCAGCGGCCGGAGAGCTTAGCTGGTCCTGCTGGGTGGCCGCCTGTGTGCTCGCTCTGCTGAAACTCTCACTTAAAAACTGAGTTCACACTGGGCTTAAGTCTGCTTTTCAGTTTCTTCCAGTTTACGTTTCTTTTCTTTTAAGCCGTCACATTTAGCAGGATTTTTATCTTCCTTAAGGATCTCAATGGATTTTATGGTGCTATATAGTTTGATTTGTGAGACTGCCTTGTTAGATACAAGCTGGCGCTTTTGGTAATGATGCCCTAGGACCTAACAAGTGAAGCTGGAAACTCAGAAAGAGCTCATTCTTTACTTGAGAACTGGTCTGAATGTACGCATTACAACAGTGAACTTTACCATGGGACACTACATTATGTGCCGCGGCCCACGTACACTGTGGGGCAGTGTTTATGGATATATAGCTAAATAGATTTTTTTTAAAAAGGGGTGCCTAAGGGGTGAAAGGTTAACAGGAAGCGGGACCAGCGCTGACACAGCTTTGGTATGAAGCCTGGACAATGCCCAGGTGCTCCCACTGACAGGTCCATGATGCACCTCGGTCATTTTCCTTTTAGAAGGCACTCCTGGATATGGTGAGTATTTGTAGTGGTGACGGTTTTAAACATGCAGCTGAAACTGTTTGTTTCTGGTTTTATCTTCAAGTGGGTTTACTGTTTTGTTCTGTTTTTTTCCCCAGAAGTTAATTTAAAACACGTGAAGTTGTGTATTAGCACACGCACAGTTTGTGCACGTTTGTTGATTTTATAGCATGGTTAGAGTTCCCTTAGGTCTAGCCTAGCCCAGCCTTGTGGCATTTTTGTCCCGAGCGTGGCTCAGATGTGTTTGGGGAAATTTATTGTTTAATGGGCCAGACATTTCCTGTCATTTTCTCCCACACTAAATGCTTCAGTTGATCCATAAATGTGAGAGCGAGTCAGGAATAGTGCACGCACACACACACACGCTCACAGTGGGTGCTCTAACACTTAGACCCCTTTTTGAGTGCTGGAAAAATATTTTGATAAAAGGGCCGTGCTGTTAGGTTTTTATTGCTGTTGTTTTGATTAGTCATACTTAGGATGGCTATCTTATGGGAATAGTTGCCTCCCAGCTATGTTCAAACTGGGAGGGACACAGCAGTCAGTGATGTCATTAGAGTGGGCTGTTGGGATATGAGCAGCATTCTTATTTCCAGTGGTTTGACTTTCTCATGCTAATCATGCAAAATAGATTTAATGTCAGTGCACTCAGAAAAGGACTGATGTGTTATTTATTTATTTATTGATCTTCTAGCTTCACCATGTTTTTGGTATGGCGCACAGTATTTTAGGATTATCCCGGTGTAAACTGGTGCATGATGCATGTAAAAGCAGAGGGATAATTCGGCTGACATATCTGCTTATTTTGCACAGCATGTGCATGATAAATGCATGAAATAGATGTCGAATCTAAAACCCCGCCATGAACTGAGTGTATTGTTCGCCTGAATATTGCAAACACGGGACCATTTAGTGACATTTCCAGCAGAGACAGTGAAAATTCTGTAGACGTGGAAAGAGCACAGAAGAATAAATGTGATGAAGCAGATGGATGCGATACACGCAAGCGTGTCCACCCAGCTAGTGAGACATACGTATACAAACACACACTTGCATGCACACACAGGGTTTACCTTCCAGTCAGGTAGCAGATTACAAAAGCAGTACCTCCTTGGTAACACTGTACATGCACATACTGTAAACAGATACACAGCAAAACATCCTGGTTCCTTCTTCTTCTTTCCACATACACTGAAGTGATTATCATGCATGCAATGTCAGGTTGTGTAAACATAGCCTGGGGCTATAGGGGCCTATTGTGTAAAGATTAAGTGCGTTAGCCTGTAAGTGGTAAGTCGCTGTACGTTACCATCCAAGCCTGTCTTAGGTTTTTGCATTTTCATTTGCACCTAGTTTACTCTCTTGTTGCTTCACCTGAAATTCACAAGCCACAAATGATAAACAATCATAAATAATCAAAGCTATTACAGGTATTTGTATAATCTTCCATGGATGAGATTCTTTGATTTACTGGAGCAAAATCTCACTAATGCGGTTCACAGTCTGCTGGAATGCACTGCGGTGCTGAATTGGATGGATGTAGCAAATATCGTGACAGTGTTGGACAATTCACGCCTGTCACAGTTGTCAGAGACTTGTATCTGAAAATGGGCGATGTGCTTGTCAGACTCGGTTTATACCTCAGGCAGGATTCCCCTCCCCCCCTTTCTCTACAGCACTGACTGATATGTTGGTGTGTGAGTGAAGAGGAGCTTTCAGGAGGAGCTATTCATTCCACCGTGATAATGGACACATCCCCTTCTCTGCGTGTTAAACCTGTGGCATACGAGTCAAGAAGCACTGAGAGAAGAAGGCTGATAAAGATTAAAAAGATAAATCCATTCCTGTCTAAAATATGAATTCATATATGCACTCACCCACACGCGAATACGTAACTGGATTCGTTGAACCTTTAAAAGCTAAAATAACGCATTTGAGCAGATGCGACTCACTGCACAAGCCATGGAAGAACATTATGCACCCTCTCTTTCTCTCTCCCTCTTTCTGCCTCCTCACTGCATTATTGTCAGGTTATTTTTACTTTTTGCATCTGTATCGATCACCGTGCTTCCAGCCTCTGTATACCTGAAGTTAAAATACCCAGGTTCTCGAGAGCTGTGCAGTAACTGCTCCGTCCTGCAATGTTTGACTGTGCTGGGTGTTGCCCACAGGCCCACAATGAATAAACTGAGATGTATGATTGTCTAAACTTCATTAAACACTCACCAGAAAGGAAATGAAAAGTGTGTGTAGTAATCCAATTAAGTGAATCCAGCGCCTTACAGGCTGGGGAGAGAGAATAGAAGAGTCTATATTTAGAACATGGGCTGGAAATGAATTGCCGCATCGCTTTTCTCTGTTCCTCCCTCTGCTTTACATTGGTGGTGTGTACTGTCACTGTCAGTTATTACTATTACTGTCAAATAGTACATTTTTGAGGGGTATTTAAAAAAAAAAATGCAAGCAGTTGGAGTACATCAGGTCTCATTCCCTTCCATTTCTCCCTCCTGTCCTTAACTGTCGTTGGCCCCGAGGGTGGCTACCTCAGATGTACCGCATTTTGTCAGTAAGATAACAAGACACAAGACATTGTTATCTCATTTCTTTGAGGCCTTCTCCCACTGCACATTGTCATTGATTCTGGGCCAATCCCAGCCAAACTTTAGATTGCTTTCTATCACTCTGAGTTACTTTGCTGGGACTGAGGCAGAGATTTTAAAATGGGCTTTTTGGAGGCTGCAGAGACCTGCTGTCACTTTTGGGGAGACAAAGTCATCAGTCACTGGCGTCCCGGAGAACAGGAGTATATGTATGTATGTGTGTGTGGAAGAGAGAGAGAAATACAGCGTTACTGCTCACCTACAGCATCAATCTTTGCCAGCCTACTGTGCAGTGTGATGCTGATATATTCAGCCTTATTAAAAGCTCTCCCAATTCACTCCCCCATATAAAGGCCACACAGTTTAACACGGTTTCTTCTTCACACATTTTCTCACGCCGCATTCTTTCTACCTGCTTTGGATCGGTGTATGGTGAATGAAATGATTGATAACTGCTCCTGGCTTGTATGCAGCTCAGATTATTTTGCATTTTACAGTGCAAATCAGAGCATCATGAAAAGAAAAATACTAGCTATAGTTTGTGCCAAGAAAGCTGTGACCCAGCAGTGTAACAGGATATTGTTGAATGGTGTCTCTTGAAGCAGAAATCTACCAGGTTCTTCGCTGCACTGCTGGTTATATTTTAATGATATTGGCTGCTATGGTTTGCATACACAAATGCATCTTAAATCGATTGTAAATTTTAAGCTTAGCTGGTCTGCAGGGTGCTTTGCAGCACGGTTGCCGTTCATGCACAGACACACTCATGTACCAGCGCCTACAGAGCTGCCATGTAAGGTTCTTGCCTGCCATTAGGATCAACTGGGGCCTCTGTGCCTTGCCTTAAGGACACTTGGATGCATGTGGATGGGTAAGGGGGAGCCAACCTTGCGATTAGTTGACAAGCTGCTCCACAACCTGAGCCACGTCTGCCTCAGAGCAAATAATAAAATAACCAATTTCAAACGCATCAAGTCAACGTGATGACCTGTTATAACTTGTCTGCACTCTCAGCCATACAGAGAAGCCAGCAGCTGCATATCTGACAGCCCAGTCAGGCCAAAAGATCTATGACTATTTAATTAATCTACAGTACAAAAGCAGATTGGGTGGCAAACACCTACGACAAAAGGGCTGAATTATTATTGTATGTAGTCTCTGCTCATATAAAAGTCATACATTGTGCAAGCATTTCTTTAGTAAGAATTTAGTTGGAGCTTTGCCATCCCAGCTTGAATATAAACTTCCTTGAAGCCTGGCTGACATGTTTTTACTTATATTTTTGAGGTTCTCTGTTTGGCACACGCTGCTGCGGACTTAAAGACTCAACAGCAGTGTTTCCATCTCTCTGTTGGAGAAATTTCATTTAGCCCCTTTTTTTGAATTGCTAAATGATCATTATTTCACAGCTATTTTCCCAGGACATCTTGCTGTTGGTGCGTGTCTGTCAGAGCACACACAGTGACTCAGTCAGTACTGGCAGTCTTGAGATTTTCTTTTTCCCCAGCCTTCCACTTGCTTCATCATCCAATGTATCTTTCACACATTGCTGCTCCTGGATTTCTCATTGTGTTATGCTGCCTCTTATTCACGGTTGATCCCTTTCTCCTGTGTGTAATACAGCAACTCCTCATGTGTTACATGAAATATACCCAAAGAGATGCAGTCCATGACAACTAGCGTCCAAAGGCGCTCTTGTTGTTGTTCATTACAGCATCGCACAGCCAAAAGCACGCCTTCACTTTGGCAGACAACAATGGGCTAACACATTTTAGCTGCATTGGCAGTATTAAAATTATTTAATCAATTATCAATTTTATCCAGGCCAGACAAATAAAATGAATCAACCTTTGTTTGTTTGCTGAGTTAATGATGGACTGCTTTCAGCATTTAAAAAATGATTGAATAATCATATGCCATTTGTATCTTTGCATTAATATTCTGGTGGGTGATAAAACTAAAAAAATGCACTCACAGTATTTAGTGTGTTGGTATTTTCAGTTTTGAACTTTAAATACAGCTCTCAACTGGAAATATACACAGATATGATTTTGATTAATAGACACAGATCAAGGGACAGGGAGATTATCTATCTATCTATCTATCTATCTATCTATCTATCTATCTATCTATCTATCTATCTATCTATCTATCTATCTATCTATCTATCCATCTATCCATCTATCCATCCATCCATCCATCCATCCATCCATGGCTTGTTGACTGTACAAAAGATGGAATGTTAAGATTTGGGCTCAAGGCAACTATAATTAGCATTTTCTTACTTCCGTTGTCCTTCATGCTACACAGCCTATTGACAAAGGTCCTTCACCGCTCGCTGTTCCATGATCATTTTGTTTTCTTGACATTCAAATGTCATTGTTGATTCAAAAG